TCGTAGGTGGTGGAGCGCTACTCTGGTGTTCTATTGGGTGAGGTTAAAGCTGAGACGAGTGGACTTCTGAGTGCAGCATCCCTCCACGAGAGTGGCCTCCTCCAGTCAGGTGCAGACCTTGACCGGAACAACCCTGGCCGCCCCTGTTTTAGGACAGCAGCTGAAGTCAGTGCTGACGTTGACAGTAATTCCCACTGAGCACATTTTGCAATTTTCGTAGAACTTGCACAGTGTTGGTACAAAAAAAAAAAAAAAAAAAAGGTTTGGCCATTTGTTTAGGGTTCACTGTTCTATGACCCCTTAACTTTCTCTGAAAGGGATCAAAGCATTTCACTCTGAAACAGCCTTCCTAGGACAAGGATTACTTGGAGCTAAAGGCGGGTGCGGTTCTACCACCCTAAAAGGAGGGTGCAGACTGCCCCTTGCAGGAGGCGCCCTTCCCCGGGACTGACTGCGCTCACCCGAGATGGGCGCCAGGCGAGATGGGCCTGTGCCGCAGACCGCGAGGCAAGCGGCCTTGACACCCCCTTCCTTCACAGACCTCATACTTACTGGTCATCAGAAGGTTTAAAAAAAAAAAACGAAAAAACCCACCCAACCAAAAATGACGAGAGCGAGCCCTGACATTTTCCGGAATCATCTCAAAGTTAAGTTTTCAGGCATAGTGGGTAAAGCCACCACCTGCAGTGCCGGCATCCCATACAGACGCCGATTCGAGTCCTGGCTGCTCCACTTCTGATCCAGCTCCCTGCTATGGCCTGGGAAAGCACTGGAGGGTGGCCCAAGTCTTTGGGCCCCTGTGCCCACGTGGGAGACCTGGAAGATCCTGGCTCCTGGCTTCGAGTTGGCACAGCCAACTGGGGAGTGAACCAGCAAATGGAAGACCTCTCTCCTCTCTCTCTCTCTGCCTCTCCTTCTTTCTCTGTGCAACTCTGACTTTCAAATAAATGAATAAATCTTTAAAAAGTTAGTTTTCCAGGGTTAACAGAGGGGACTTTATTTTTTAAAGATTATTTATTTGAGAGGTAGAACTACAAACCAAGAGAGGGAGAGACAAGAGAGATCTTTCATCTACCGGTTCACTCCCCAGATGTCTGCAATGGCTGCAGCTGGGCTGATCTGAAACCAGGAGCCAGGATTCTGGGTCTCCCAAGCAGGTGCAGAGCCCAAGCGCTTGGGCTATTTTCCACTGCTTTCCCAGGCCATAGCAGAGAGCTTGATCAAAGTGGAGCAGCCAGGACTTGAACTGGTGCCCATATGGGATGCTGGCACTGCAGGCAGTGGCTTAGCCTACTGTGCCACAAGAGGGGAACTTCTTATACAGGCTCCAGTTCATGGTCATTTCTGATTGTTACAAAAAAATTTTTTTCTTAGAAAACCAGCCCGTTTTTTAATTTGATAACTACCTAACTCCATTCTAGTTTTGTCAGTGCAAGTGGGGGGCTCCTATAACATTGCTTCATAATCCCCAACACTTCTTCCTGTGTTTCATTAGGAAAAATAAGCCCCTCGTGGCTGACTTTCCACTCTAAGAGACCTATTCTTGGTGAATCCCAATCCGTGCAAATACTAAGAAAAGTTCTGTGCTGGGGCCAGCACTGCGGCAGAGCGGTGAAGCCACTGCCTACACTGCTGGCCTTCCACACAGGTGCTAGTTTGGGTCCCGGCTGCTCCACTTCTGATCCAGCTCCCTGCGAATGCGCCTGGGAAAGCAGCAGCAGATGGCCCAAGCACTTGACTCCTGTGACCCCCACTGGAGACCCTGGTGGTGGTCCAGCCTCCTGGCTTCAGCCCGGCCCAGCTCTGCCTGTTGTGGCTATTCGGGAAGTGAATCAATGGATGGAAGATCTGTCTTAAAAACAAACAAAAAAACTCCTGTGCTGTTTTTCTTTTTTGAAAAAGAAAAGGAAAAGCCGGATTCCAGCGCCGCCCCCGCCCCTGCAGGAAGGGCTGGCGTGGCTCTGCCTTCGCAGCAGCCCTCTGCGGTCAGGAGAGCCAATCTTGAAAAACGGACCCAAGCAGCTCCATCTTGATTCTGTTCTCTGGAGAACCTGAGCAACACCAGCGCTGCTTACCAACGTGGCAAATGCTGGTTATGACGCACCCACCAGCCACAGACTGGAGGCAGACTTAAAGACACTGTGTAGAAGATGCGATCAACTGTGCAACAGAAAAAAAGGCGGGGAAATAAAAACTTGTCTCTGTCTCTCTGGGATGGTAAGACAGACACCAGCCACAGGGGTGTCTGCTGGGGCAGCGCCACAGACCTGAGTGAACGCAGGACTGGGCAGAACGGACCTCTTGGCCCTGTTCCTTTTCATGTTCTCTGACAAACGCACATACGCTATGGCCCTGTAATTATAGAACCACATACATAAACTTTCATATGTGCAAAATGACACAAATACAAAGATATTCCATTGAAGCACTGTTTATAAGAGATTAAGAATGGGGGTTGGGGGCCGGTGCTGTGGTGTGGTAGGTTAAGCCTCCGTCTGCAGCGCCAGCATGTCATATGATTCCAGTTGGTGTCCTGGCTGCTCCTCTTCCGATCCAGCTCTCTGCTATGGCCTGGGAAAGCAGTAGAAGATGGCCCAGGTCCTTCGGCCCCTCACCCACGTGGGAGACCCGGAAGAAGCTCCTGGTTCCTGGCTTTGGATCGGCACAGCTCTAGCCTTTGTGGCCATTTGAGGAGTGAACCACTGGGTGGAAAACCTCTCTCTCTGTCTTTCCCTCTCTCTGTCTAACTCTGCCTCTCAATTAAACAATCTTAAATAAATTTAAAAAAACAACAAAAAAGGAAAGAATGGGGCTGGCACTGTGGCACAGCGAATTAAGTCAATCCCATATGAGCACTGGCTGGAGTCGCAGCTGCTCCGCTCTGATCCAGCTCCCGACTAATGTGCCTGGGAGGATAGTAAGAAGGAGGGCCCAGTGTCTGGGCCTCGCCACCGACGCGTGAGACCGGGCAGAGTTCTGGACTTTCTGCTTGGGCCTGGCCCGGCCCTGGCTGCTGCGGTCATTTGGGAAGTTAACTAGCAAAGGAAAGATTTCTTTCTTTCTCTGTCTAACTTTCTGTCTCTGGAACTCTGCCTTTCAAAAACCAAGTAAATAAATCTTTTGAGAGAGAGAGAGAGAGAGAGAGAATGGACAGGTGGACGCTGTGCTAGAGCAGTGAAGCTGCCTCTCAGGAAGCCCACACCCATACCAAGGTGCCCAGCTTGAGTACAGGCTACTCCACACTTCAGTCCAGCCTCCACTGCATGTGGGAGGCCGAAGACGCTGGCCCATGTACTTGGATTCTTGCTACACACATGGGAAACCCAGATGGAATTCCTGGTTCCTGGTTTTGGCCTGGCCCAGACCTGGCTGTTGTGGGCATTTGAGGAGAAACCAGCGATGGAAGGTTTATAACAAATAAACATTGTTTTTCTATAGGGATTTATTTATTTATTTGAAATACAGAGTCAGAGACAGGGAGGAGAGAGAGAAAAACCTTCAATCTGTTGGTTCACTCTCCAAATAGCCACAATGACCAGGGCTGGGCCAGGGCTGAAGCCAGGAGTTTCTTCTGGGTCTCCCAAGCGGGTACAGAGTTCCAAGGACTTGGGCCATCCTCCGCTGTTTTCCCAGGAGCATTGGCAGGGAGCTGGTTTGGAAGTAAAGCAGCCGGGACTCAAACACAGTGCCCATATGGGATGCCAGAGCTGCAGGCACCACAGCACTGACCCCATAAATAAATCATTTAAAAAAATCATCTGTTTCAGCCGGCGCCGTGGCTCAATAGGTTAATCCTCCGCCTTGCGGCGCCGGCACACTGGGTTCTAGTCCTGGGATTCTGTCCTGGTTGCCCCTCTTCCAGGCCAGCTCTCTGCTATGGCCCAGGAGTGCAGTGGAGGATGGCCCAAGTGCTTGGGCCCTGCACCCACATGGGAGACCAGGAAAAGCACCTGGCTCCTGGCTTTGGATCAGCGCGATGCACCGGCCACAGCGCACCTGCCGCGGCGGCCATTGGAGGGTGAATCAACGGCAAAAGGAAGACCTTTCTCTATGTCTCTCTCTCTCACTGGCCACTCTGCCTGTCAAAAAATAAATAAATAAATTTTAAAAATCATCTGTTTGAGGGGTTGGCACTGTGGCATAGTGGATAAAGCTGCCACCTGCAGTGCTGGCATCCCATATGAACACTGGCTTGAGTCCCAGCTGCTCAATTTCCAATCCAGCTCCCTGCTATGGCCTGGGAAAGCAGTGGAAGATGACCCAAGTCCTTGGGCCCCTGCACTGGCATGGGAGACCCGGAAGAAGCTCCTGGCTCCTGACTTTGGATCAGCCTGGCTCTGGCCCTTGCAGCCGTTTGGGGAGTGAACAAGGAGGTGGAAGACCTCTCTCTCTGCCTCTGCCTCTCTATAACTCTGCCTTTCAAATAAATAAATAAATCTTTTTTTAAAAAAATCATCGATTGAAGAGACATGGTACTTTCAAAGAATGAGGCGGCTCTATGTTCTGACATGGAATGATTTCCAAGGTGAGTAGAAAAGGCAGGTGCAGGGTGGTGTGTACAGTACGCTACCATTAGTGTGGGAAGAAAAGTCAAAGTATACGCACATATATTTGCAAGTGCAGCAATTGTCTCCAGAGCACAGAAAGTCCTGGCTGCCTCTGGGGAAGAGGACCGGGGAAAGGGAGCAGGGCGGGAGTAATAACTTCACACGGGATCTTCGGAGCTGAAGGCACGCGTCATCTCTTAAAAAGTCAGGTATCTGAGGCCTGGGGGAGAGGCAAGGAGGAGGAGGGCTGAAGTCAGCAGGGCACAAAGCGCTCATCTGGATGCTGTCAGCCGGGTCCCCGGGAGCTGCTCCCACAGATTCCAACTTCGGACCGCAGCGGGTTTCACCCTACGCCCTGGGCTTCCACTGAAACGAGGGAGAGACATCTGGAAAGGGGCCCCCGCCCAGCTCTCTGAGGAGCAGGTGACTCTAATCCATGCGAGAAGAACTGGGTCAAGACCTTCACGAGCTTTTTATTCATCGTCTAACCGAGACGTGGTCAGCCTGAACCAAAACAAGCTCCGGTAGCCTCAACATCCTGTCTTACTACAATACCACTGGACAACACCGGAAGTGGGGGCGGAGTTTAGCCTCTCTTCTTTTCAGAGACTGATCAGGGATCTAGACACAGGTGACTCATTAAAAACCAACAGCACCAGCAGGAGACATCCAGTGGCCGGGGCACTGCCCTTGTCACTCACGCAGCCTGCCTCTTCCTTGGCCATAAGGAGCGCTGCTTCTGGGGAGAGGGGTTATCCGCGTAGCATCACGAGATGGCACCTTTAGCTTTCTGAGGACTTGGATCGGGAGGCGGCGGTTGACTTGCTGCCCTGAACCTGGGTGAGCAGCCTGTGGGAGCGCCTCGCTGCGTCCTGGGAGACAGGCGGGGTCGCCTTGCCAACGTCTTTACAGGGGAGCCAGGGCTGGATCCCGGGGTTGTTCAGGAGCCTCGCACCTGACTCCCAGGAGCCAGCAGCGGCGTGGAGCACCCCAAGGCCGGGAGGGAGTGCCTCCCAGAGCAGTCGGGACGGAAGGCAGGAGGGGTCCCGGGACGCGGGGGAACAGACATCAGCTGAAACACTCCATGCTGGCTCTGACTCGCTCCATCTCGTGCAGGAAGCTGTAGAACTGAGGCAAGGTTAATTCTGGGGAGAAAAAACCCAGCTTCAGGTCAGTGTTTCCAACTCCACCGAATCACCCATGAAAATCAGTTTCCACCCAGACCTTCTCTGTTTTGGCTTAGGACTCCTAAGCGGTTCTTGATGGGTAATTCCCTGTAATGCGGAAGCGAGAGCCCTGAACGCAGGAGGCCCTCAGCTCCCTCTTCCAAAAGAGGCTGTGTTAACATGGCACAGCCCCACTGCAGAGACGAAAGGGCGTCGTTCAGGACGCGGGACCCACATCTCCGGCCAGGGCTCCTCGGATGCCAGCTGTTCCTGCCCCACCTTTCCCCTTGTCCAAAAGGCTCCTCAACTGTGGGGTCGCCAGCCTGCCAAAGGCTTAGTAACACGCCCCCTGCCCCCCGCCCCGTCCATGGCTTCCGCGTGCACAGGCAGCAGCATGGCGACTCCACCGTGTGGCTGGGACCTTTTCTGCAAGAGACGACCTGTGCGGTGAGCTGCGTACGCCGCTGGCTGAAGGAACATGGAAAAGGTGAGAAGGCGCCCATGGAAACTCACACTCACCTAGGTACAAATGTTCAGTCTGATTTCCTTTCTTAACCACCAACTTTAACTGAGTGGGGAAGAAAGAAAGAAATTCAAATTAAAATGGAGACAATTGAGCAAAGAAATTCTCTATTTTCTTTCACCTTATGAAACACAGAAGCATCAGCCTCTCGCTTGAGGGCTGCACGGAAGCAGCCTGGGTGGTCCACCAGCAAGAGTCCCCAGGAGCAAACTTCTGGGAACACTGTTAGGGTCCACTAGTCAGAGCGGGCACGCCAGTGACCGAGGCTTTAGCTGGCCACACTGACATGGACAAAGCACGGTGGTAGAACACCCATTTAAATAAGTATTTAAAGAAACTCAAATGTTAATTTAATAATTTTTAATCAAGTCAAAAACTATCCATGTTAAGGCTGAGGAGCAGACTTACTTGTAAAAAAATACTTCCTACTTTCTCCAGTTCACTGTTCCCAGACGTCACTGCGACACACAAGAGAGAAATAAGAGCTGACTGGGAGCTTACCTTGAAGACCCCAGTTCTGTGGTTTCCCGCAGGAGGCATGGGGGAGGGGCACTATGAACACACAAGATGTGCTCAGGAAGTCACCCGATGGAGCCAGGGATAGAAACAGCTGCTGACACGGCCGGCAGAGAAAAGGCCGCGGCTGGCCCCAGCGGTGGAGAGGACTGAGGCCCTGTCTCCCCAACCGAGGCTATTCAAAAGCCTCTGCCACCCAAAATGACCCAGGGTGGGCTCGAACTCGTTACCTCCAAACTTCCACTCCATGTCTATAAGCTGGTTAATCATCAGAGTCTGGCCTACGGCCCACTGAGCAAGGGTGGGGGCATTCTGCTTCCACTAGAACAAAAGCACAAAACCAAAGTCACAACCATAGAACTCTCACCTCCTGATACTGCCCCAAACACAGCCCTGTGCAGTGTCTCCACAGACAGTGGGCAGAGTGCAGAGCCCGGGGACGGCCTATCTGTGCGGGACTGGGGGACCAGGAGGGGACAGAGTGCAGAGCCCGGGGGCGGCCTATCTGTGCGGGACTGGGGGACCAGGAGGGGACAGAGTGCAGAGCCCGGGGACGGCCTATCTGTGCGGGACTGGGGGACCAGGAGGGGACAGAGGCAGGAAACACCCACTCACAGCAATGCTTTATTTCATTCCAAACGGTAAACCATATGACATTTAAATTCAGCCAAATCAGAGAAGAAACAGAAGCAGCAAATAGTGCTGGTGGCTAAAAGTTCTATATTCGTCATTTGTGTGAAGGCAAATGAAACGACACAATGAGAGTTCTGCCTTAGTCAGCATTTTCCTTTTCTTTTCAGGAAATAAAAGCAAGGGATCTTAACCTTGATTAAGAGGAATTATACCTTTTCAGAAAAGTGAGTGGCTTTCTCCTCACTAAGACCTGTAAGAGAACAGAGGGCTCATTAACATAAGGAGCAGCTGCAGAAGCCCTGCCAACGACGCCCGATGCCAGGCGGGTGACCTACCCAGAGTCAGGAGATCCGCCCGGACCTGCTCTGCCGTCAGGCTCTTCTTCAAGGCACCTGGGAAGCAGGCAAATCAGTTAGAAGAAGCCAACCAATGAATGAGTCAGTGATAAGAATTTATTTTTTTTAAACATTTTATTTAATTGAGAGGTAAAGTTACAGATAGTGAGAGGCAGAGGCAGAGAGAGAGAGAGAGAGAGAGAGAGAGAGAGAGAGAGAAAGAGAGAGAAAGGTCTTCCATCTGCTGGTTCACTCCCCAGATGGCCACAAAGGCCGGAGCTGCGTCAGTCCTACTCGGGTCTCCTACACGGGTGCAGGGCCCAAGCACCTCGGCCATCTTCCACTGCTTTCCCAGGCCATAGCAGAGCTGGATTGGAAGAGGAGCAGTTGGGACTTGAACCAGCAGCACATGGGATGCCAGCGCCACAGGTGGAGGATTAACCCATTGCACCTCAGTGCCGGTGCTAAGAATTTAATGGACATAATCTGTGTGACACAGAGGACAAAAGGAATATGTTCGGGTGGGTTAAGTTGCCACTTGTGACACCAGCATCCCATATGAGCACCACTTCTGATCCAGCTCACTGCTAACAGCCAGGGAAGAACAGCAGCAGATGGCTCGAGTGTTGGGTCCCTGCCACCCACCCACGCGGGAGACCTGAATGAAGCTCCTGGCTCTTGTGTTAGACCTGGCCCAGCCCTGGCCATCGGGGGAATGAACCAGTGGATGGAAGGTCTCTCTGTGTGTCCCCAGAAGCCCTGGAGAGCAAGAATGACAGCACACGTTGTGTTTGCTGTTTCGGCACGTTTATCCACTCCTGCAGCAAGTGAGGGGCTTTTTGGGCTTGGGGATGGAGTAACAGATCTGAGGGATGAAGAAGGCTACACATTCCAGGAACCAAGAGGCAGGGCCAGGTTCAGCAGCAGGCTGGGCACAGGTGTAGCAGCCTAAAACCGCAGGATGCAACATGTCCCATGAGGCTACTTAAATTTTAATGAAAATTACGTAAAATGTAGAATTCTGCTCTCCAGTTGCACCAGCTGTTTCGAGAGCTCAGTAGCATGCAGGGCCGGTGAGCACTGTCCTGGAGAGCACAGGCCACAGGCCACAGGTCAGTTCCATCCCCCCGGGCAGCACTGGCCTAGGAAACGGCCTTCGCACAGTGTACTAAGAGGGACTGACCAGTTTGGCCTGTACAGAGCACAAGTCACTTCCAAAGGGGCTGTCACAGCTTCCCCTCGGAGGCCCTAGGAGCACTCCCCTGTGGAGCCTGCATTGTTCTGCTGTGACTCCTGAAAACAGTGTAGCCAGCAATCAGGCTTCTCAACCTTTCATCCCCAAGCTGCAGCCTAGAGTCGTAATTTGGCGACCAGTTAAAGTTTTTCCACTTAGTCTACCAGAAGATGATCAGTTAAAGACTGGGAGGCCATCCACCTCCATGAAGGGAGGGCCCTGAAACTACACCCTAAGCCCAAGGCCCCACCCCCGCCCCACCCCAGAAACACAATCCTAAAGGCTGTGAGATCAACCCTGTAAACAAAGAGAGGAAATCTTTTATCTCCAAAATCAGGCTGGGCAAGGAAGCCACAGGGAAATAAAGCAGCAAGACCCCAGGAAACTCGGCCACAAAGGCCCTGCCTGACAGGGCCTGCTTCCTAGCCAATCCAATTAACTCACAGCTCCCAGGAGAACTGCTCCTTAGTTTATATCCACCTCAAACCCAGTATTCTGCCTCATGATCCCAAAAGACTGTAAAGTGGGGATTATGACTGTAACCTTTAATTTAACAGGAAACTGAAGATCAGAAAGATTAAGCTTTTTACAGGAGAAAATTTGGCAACTGCATACAGTCAACAATTGTACTAGGGATGGCCAGTGTGGCATAGCAGGTGAAGCCACTGCCTGTGACACCGGAATCCCACATGGCTGCCGGAACGAGTCCTGGCTGCTCCACTTCCGATCCAGTTCCCTGCTAATGGCCTGAGAAAGACAGCTAAGGATGGCCCATGTGTTTGGGGCCCCGCCACCCGTGCGGGAGACCAGGATGAAGTTCCCGGCTCCTGGCTTCAGCCTGGCTGTTGCAGCCACTTGGGAAGTGAACCAGTGGGTGAAAGATTTCCCTGGCTCTATCTTTCCCTCTCTCTGTAATTCTTTCAAATAAATTAAATAAATAAGTAATAAACTGTACTGCCGAAACTTCATCCAAAGATATGCCTCAAAAAGCCCACGGAGCTGCACTGGGGAAGCTCTTTAGCAATGCGCGTGGTGGGGAAGGAGGTCACTAACTGGAGCTGGAGTTGTGGTATGGCATTTCAAGCCTCCACCTGTGAAGCTGGCGTCTCACGGCGGGCACCGGTTGGAGACCTGGCTGCTCCGCTTCCGACCCAGCTCCCTGGGAATGCACCTGGGAAAGCACTGGAAGATGTCCTGAATGCTTGGGCCCCCTGCACCCAGGTGGGAGACCTAGAGGAGGCCTCTTGCTCCTGGCTTCAGCCTGGCCCAGCCCCGGTCCTTGGGGCCATCTGGGGAGTGAACCAGAGGACAGAAGATCTCTCTCTCTCTCCCTCTCTCTGGAACTCTGCCTTTCAAGTAAATAAATAAACCTTTAATAAAAGAAAGCAAGGAAGATAAGCTTGGGGGAGCAAGGGGTGTGGTGCGGCAGGTTAAGCTGCTGCCTGTGACACTGGCATCCCATGTGAGCACTGGGCCCCCTCCTACTGCTCTACTTCCAATCCAGCTCCCTGCTAATGCACTTGAGAGAGAGAAGCCTCCTTGTGTGCTTGGGCTCCTGCTCTCCATGTGGAGATCTCCACAGAGTCCCAGGCTCCTGGCTTCGGCCATTTGGGGAATAAACCAGAGGATGGAAGAGGTCTTTCTCTCTGTGTTTTCCACTCTCCCGCTATGCTTTTCAGATACGATCTTAAGATAAGGACCCTGGCCTGTGCCGCGGCTCACTAGGACAATCCTCCGCCTAGCGGCGCCGGCACACTGGGTTCTAGCCCCGGTCGGGGCGCTGGATTCTGTCCCAGTTGCCCCTCTTCCAGGCCAGCTCTCTGCTATGGCCAGGGAGTGCAGTGGAGGATGGCCCAGGTGCTTGGGCCCTGCACCCCATGGGAGACCAGGATAAGTACCTGGCTCCTGCCATCGGATCAGTGCGGTGCGCTGGCCGCGGCAGCCATTGGAGGGTGAACCAACGGCAAAGGAAGACCTTTCTCTCTGTCTCTCTCTCTCACTGTCCACTCTGCCTGTCAAAAAAAAAAAAAAAAAAAAAGATGAGGGCCCCCTATTCCTGGGGCGAGTTTTCATTATACAATTTTCCATGAGCTTCTCAAAAGTTGTTGTACTGCTTTGTTTGAAAGGTGGAGGGAGGCCGGGCGGGAGAGGACGCTCCCATGCACTGGTTTCCTTGTCACTCACTCACAAAGGCCAGGTGGAAGCGGGAACTGGGAAGCTGGGGATGCAGGGACCTGCCTACTTGGGCATCACCGGCTGCCTCCCAGACTGCACCTGAGCAGGAGCCTAGAATTGGAGCCAGAGCCTGGACTCGGACCCAGGCGTCCAACAGGGGATGCAGGCGTCTCAGCAGGCAGCTCAGATGCTAAGCCAAATGCTTGTCCCTCCACCAGCTTTTGGAAGATCCCTCACGCTAAGCCACACAGGTGACTGTCCCTGCTGTCCCCTCTGCTGGGAACTCTTCCTCAGACTCGCGCACAGCTCATGCTCTGCTTGAACCTGACCCTCCTGAGCGGATCCAGAGCACTCCATTTAAAATGGCACTGCTTCTCCCCCATACCGGTTCTTAAAAACTGGTTTTCATTTATTTGTAAGGAAGAGAGAGAGAGGACTCCTATGTGTTAGTTCACTCTCCAAACACCCTCAACTGCAGGGGCTGGGTTAGGCTGAAGCCAGGCGCCAGGAACTCCATCTGGGTCTCCCATATACGGGTGGCAGGGACCCAGTTGCTTGAGGCATCACCTCCTGTCACCCGGGGTGTATATTAGCGGGAAAATGGAATTGGAAGTGAAGCTGTAACTCGAACCCAGGATACAGGCATCCTAACTACTGTACCAAATACCATCCCCCACTGCTGTTTTGTGTTTATAACCAACGTTATGTCTATTGTCCTTTTTTTCACTAGCACATCAGTTCAGTGAGAACAAGAACTTGGTTTGTTTCCCACCACTGTTGTACACCAAGCTCCTAAAAAAGCACCCTGCACTGTTTACTGTTGTCCTTCGATGAAAACATGATAGAAAAGTCACACAATGGAATACTCTGCAGCCTTTAAGAAGAAAAAGAAATTACTCAGTGTTGCCAGTTTGCAAAATGTAATTTTTTAAAAAGGAAAAGTACAGAGCAGTTACAGTCTTCCCTTTGGGTAATGAAATCGGCTGTAGCAGATCCTTATTTAGATCTTGAATTCTATCCTTATCCAATAGCTAAGTTAGCAGATGTAAAACGCGTTTTAGTTTTTGAACATACTGACAAAAAACTTAAGGGTGCACATCATTGGAGAAAGGGACTGACTGGATGGAACTTGTTTATTTTCTTCCTTTTTGCTATATAAAATTCTTTTCTAAATATGTGTGTGTTTGTTTATGTGCAAGTGGAAGAATTGTGGATCATTTTTGTTCCCTTTCTTGTACATTTCTATAATTAAAAATGTTACTTCAAAAGCAATCAGTTAAATGAATCACACAACAGCCAGCAAAAAGCAAAGCCAAAGAGCTTACAGGCCAGAGGGTGCCCACACCCGAGTTTTTTTATTTACTTATTTTACTTATATTGAAAGTCAAAGTGATGCAGAGAGAGGAAGAGACAGAGAGAAGGTGATTCTCCAAATGGCTCTGCCAAAGCCAGGAGCCAGGAACTCCAGCCTGGCCTCCCACGTGTGTGGCAGGGGCCCAAGGACATGAGACACCTTCTGCTGCTGGCCCAGGCACATTAACAAGATGCTGGATCAGCAGTGGCGCAGACAGGACTTGAACCGGCGTGCTGACGTGGGTTTCTAGTGTCTCAGGCTGTAGGTTAGCCTGCTGCGCCACAACACAGGCCCTTCCACTCCCGGTCATTCTTCTAGGCTGCTTGTTAAAGTGGTATCACTTGACGGTGACTGACACAGAAGGCCGCCAAGGCCACCAAGCTCCAAGGGACAAACAGCAAGCTCTCCATACCGAAGCTACTGTGGCCAGGCAGGAGCCACACTCTGAAAGGACACTTGCATTGCGTTAGACCTCAAGCTTCTAGCTCTTTCCAGCTTTTTCCTTTGTTCTCCGTAATGGCATCCATCAAGCAGGCCGGTAGCCCTGACCCCGTATCTAGCAGAAGGAACATTTTACAAATACCAGGCTGGAGTCACCAGCACGTCACCTGGAGAAAACTGGGATGCTCTTCTTTGGGTGCAGAAAACTCTCTCTCTGGGGTGGGTTTTGCTTTTCTTTTTAAAAAATTTATTTATTTAAATTACAGAGAGAGGGGGGGAGAGACAGAGAGAGAGATCTTCCATTTGCTGGTCCACTCCCCAAGTGGACACGACCGGCTGCTTTCCCAGGCACATTAGCAGGGAGCTGGATCAAGGTGCAGCAGCCAGGACTCGAACCAGCGCCCATCTGGGATGCCAGCATCGCAGGCAGCAGCTTCACCAGCTGCGCCACAACGCCAGTCCCTTGGGTGGTGACTAAAGCTGTCAAACAGCGCAGGGGACAAAACGGGTGTAAGGGAGGAGGAGGATTTCCCCAAGAGTCAGTTAAGAAGCATTAAACATTGTTCTTCCAGCCAAAAATCTAAGTGAGCCTTTTCGGAGTCATCAGGGAGGCCTGAAGAACAGGACAACGTGGAATCACTTGGCGTTTTGATGCTGTAATAAAATACCTGTGGTGGTTTGCTAGGAAGAAAATATGTATTTAGATCACAGTTTTGGAGGCTATGAGTTCAGAGCGCGCAGCACAGGCTCCCCCGTGGTGAATGGTGGACCATGCACATTAAGAAGCAAGCATGAGGGGCCAGTGCTGTGGTGCAGTGGGTTAAAGCCCCAGCCTGCAGTGCCGGTATCCCATGTGGACGCCAGTTCGAGACCCGGCTGCTCCACTTCCGATCCAGCTCTCTGCTGTGGCCTGGGAAAGCAACAGAAGATGGCCCAAGTGCTTGGGCCCCTGCATCCATGTGGGAGACCCGGAAGAAGCTCCTGGCTTCTAGCTTTGGATTGGTACAGCTCCGGCCGTTGCGGCCATCTGGGGAGTGAACCAACAGATGGAAGACCTCTCTCTCTCTTTCTCTGTCTCTACCTCTCTGTTTAACTCTGTCTTTTAAATAAGTAAAATAAACCTTTAAAAAAAAAAAAAAAAGAAACAAGCATGAATAGGAAGCCATGCAGACTCAGGCCTTCCTAACAAGAGCTCACTCCAGAGGGCAGCATTCCCTCGGAAGGTGGCAGCTCCAATGACCTAAGGACTGCCCACCAAGCCCCGCCTCCTGGGGGGTCTCATCAGCTCCCACAGTGCCACACTGGACCCTTGGGGGACGAGCACACCCAAACCACAGCAGAGGCCACGTGAAAGCTCAGAAGAACAAGCAGATGCGGGAGGGGAGTGAGCCACCTGCATCCCGACAGTCACCGACCCCGAAGCCATGGCTGAATCCACCCTGGGAGGCTCAGCCACTACACACACACACACACACACGCACACACGCACACACACACGCGCACACACACACACCCTGGGAGGCTCAGCCACTGCACACACGCACACACACACACACACACCCTGGGAGGCTCAGCCACTACACACACGCACACACACACCCTGGGAGGCTCAGCCACTACATACACACACACACACACACCTACATACACACGCACACACACACACACACCCTGGGAGGCTCAGCCACTACACACACACACACGCACACACACACACACACTGGGAGGCTCAGCCACTACACACACACACACGTGCGCGCACACACACATACGCACACACACGTATGCACACACACACGTACGCACACATGCACACACACGTACGCACACGCACACACGAAGCACCTGCCCTGTGCCAGCACTGAGCTGGATCCTGGAAAATGCCCCTGCCAGGCTCACAGGGTACTGGGAGGAGGAAAACTGGCAACAACGCAACGAGGAAGCCACAGGGAGAACCCTAAGGGAAAAGCCGTGGAGCAGGCAGAGCCACACAGCAGGAGGAGGCTGGCAGTTTGGGGACTTAATTCAACATCTGATTAAATACCACTTGTGACTACTGTTCAATGTTAATCTTTTTTTCTCCAGCCAGAAAGAACTCTGTGGGAAGTAGAGAAGGGGAATTATTAACTTTTTGTAAAAGAAAAAAAGTTACTGATCACCCACAAATTGGTAAATATTAAAACAAAAACCAGCCTCTCACTATGAACCATGCACCTCTGAGCTGCCATGATTTTGGCTTCAAAGTAAATTAAGTGTGGGGTAAGGGAATAAAAAATAAAAACATGCTTATACAGAGGCCTTCCTGCCTGCCTGCTTGCTTTTTTAAAGACTTACTTATTTGAAAGTCAGCATTACAGATAGAGACAGACAGAGGTATACAGAGAGAGGTCGTCCATAGGCTGGTTCACTCTCCAAATGGCTGCAATGGCTGGAGCTGGGCTATCGGAAGCCAGGAGCCAGGAGCTTCTTTCGGGTCTCCCACACTGGTGTTGGGGGTCCAAGGACTTAGAGCATCTTTTTTTTTTTGGTTTTTTTTTTGGTTTTTTTTTTTTTTTTTTTTTTTTTTTTTTGACAGGCAGAGTTAGACAGTGAGAGAGAGAGAGACAGAGAGAAAGATCTTCCTTCTGTTGGTTCACCCCCCAATGGCCGCTACGGCTTGCATGCTGCGCTGATCCAAAGCCAGGAGCCAGGTGCTTCCTCCTGGTCTCCCATGTGGGTGCAGGGCCCAAGGACTTGGGCCATCCTCCGCTGCCCTCCTGGGCCACAGCAGAGAGCTGGACTGGAAGAGGAGCAACTGGGACAGGATCCAGTGCCCCAATTGGGACTAGAACCCGGGATGCCAGTGCCGCAGGCGGAGGATTAGCCTAGTGAGCCTCGGCGCAGCCGGCCTTGGGTCATCTTCTACTGCTTTCCCAGGCCACAGCCGAGAGCTGGTAAAGCTCTGCCTGCAGTGCCGGCTTCCCACATAGCCCTGGTTTGAGTCCTGGCTGCTCCACTTCCGATCGGGGTCTCTGCTGTGGCCTGGGAAAGCAGTGGAAGATGGTCCAAGTCCTTGGGGCCCTGCACCTACATGGTAAACCCGGAAGAAGTGCCTGGCTCCTGGCTTTGGATTGGCTCAGCTCTGGCCCTTGCAGCCAGTTGGGGGGTGAACCAGCAGATGGAAGACCTCTCTGCCTCTGCTCTGCCTCTCTGTAACTCTGCCTTTCAAAATACATCTTTAAATTTTTTTTTTTTATTTATTTTATTTTTTTATTTTTTATTTTTTTGACAGGCAGAGTGGACAGTGAGAGAGAGAGACAGAGAGAAAGGTCTTCCTTTTGCCGTTGGTTCACCCTCCAATGGCCGCCGTGGCCGGCGCGCTGCGGCCGGCACACCGCGCTGATCCGGTGGCAGGAGCCAGGAGCCAGGTGCTTTTCCTGATCTCCCATGGGGTGCAGGGCCCAAGCACTTGGGACATCCTCCACTGCACTCCCGGGCCACAGCAGAGAGCTGGCCTGGAAGAGGAGCAACCGGGACAGAATCCGGCGCCCCAACCGGGACTAGAACCCGGTGTGCCGGCGCCGCTAGGCGGAGGATTAGCCTAGTGAGCCGCGGCGCCGGCTCAAAATACATCTTTAAAAAAAAAAAAAACGTGGAGCAGGTGGGACTGGAACCAGTGCCCACATGGGATGCCAGCACCGTAGGTGGTAGCTTTACTTTCTAATCTTGCCAAGGAGATACCACACAATGATAATGACAGTCACAATATTAGCAGCAATGCAAGGACCACATATTGAAGTGGGCATTTTTCACTTGCTTCTTTCTCCATCCTTAGAACAACATATGAGGTACCATCAGCTCCGTTTATCGCTGAAGAAACTGATTCGCACACACAGCAAGGAACTTGGCTCCAGGTGTCACAGCAGCCCTAGTGAATAAGCAAGGTGGCTCAGGAGGGTCAGCCTGCCACCAAATGCAAGAAGAGCCATTCGTAAACAAACAATGCAGGAGACAATGGGGACACTTGGACACTGACTGCATATTTTCCTTTCAGGTATGATAATGGCATTGTGGTCTGATAAGGGAAAAATCCTTTATCTTTTAGGGACAGATAAATAGGTATTTGGGAATGAAACACATTTCTTTCTTTCTTTCCTTCGTCGTTCCTTTTTTATCTATTTCGACAGGCAGAGCGGACAGTGAGAGAGAGACAGAGAGAAAGGTCTTCCTTTTTTCTGTTGGTTCACCCCACAATGGCTGCTGCGGCCAGTGCGCTGCGGCCTGCACTCCGCACCGATCTGAAGGCAGAAGCCAGGTGATCCGAAGCCAGAGCCAGGTGCTTTTCCTGGTCTCCCATGCGGGTGCAGGGCCCAAGCACTTGGGCCATCCTCCACTGTACTCCCGGGCCACAGCAGAGTGCTGGCCTGGAAGAGGAGCGACCAGGACAGAATCTGGCGCCCCGACCGGGACTAGAACCCGAGGTGCCGGCACCGCAGGCGGAGGATTAGCCTATTGAGCCACGGTGCTGGCTAAAATATATTTCTTTAAAATAATACAATTTGGAGAGCAGAGAGGAAGAATGGATAGGAGGACCCTCAGTGCTGTGGTGTGGCAGGTAAAGCTGCCACCTGCAGTGCGGGCATCCCATATGGGCGCCGGCTCGAGTCTCAGCTGCTCCACTTCCGATCCAGCTCTCTGCACTCACATGGGAGACCCAGAAGAAGTTCCTGGCTTTGGATTAGCACAGCTCCAGCCATTGCAGCCATCCAGGGAGTGAACCAGTGGATGGAAGACCTCTCTCTCTCAATTTCTCTTTCTCTCTGCCTCTGCCTCTCTGTAACTCTGCGTTTCAAATAAATAAATAAATATTTTTATAAAAAATTATATACTAAATAGTAAAAGGAAAAAAAACCTAGATAGAGAACCCCACCAAGATCAGCTTTACATAGCTTTTACTTGGCCCTCCCCCTGACAAAAAAAAGGGAGTTCCATGGTTAACTGTGTCTCTCAGACACTGGTTAAACAGGTTTCTTTATTGCAGGACTTCTTAGAATCTGAGCTATGTTAATGTTGTGTGACTCCCCAAGGCTCCAGTGCTGGGGGAAGGGGGACAGTCCTTTGACTCTGATCACTCAAGCCTTTTATTGATGGACCATCAACTTGGGGAGACTGGTCCGGTGGGTTCCCCGGCTCTCCAGCTCTAAAGAAGCTGACTTCTACCAAAGTCTACTGCACAGGTGCGACCAGGAGAAGGAGAGCGTGAGGAGAGGAAGCCTGCGGCTCTTACATTTTAGGTTAGGTTGGGGTGGGGGCGGCCTTGGCCTTGAATGACAAGGAAGCACTACCTTCTGAACAGGACCCAGGGCACAGGGGCCTCTGGGACAGGAGAACAGAGGCAGGGATGTGACTGCCGTAACCAGGTATGGGGGCAAAGGACTCGTTCCAGGATGCCAGCCCTTGCGACTGGAAAGAGACGCGCAAAGCCAAGGGCTAAACCAAGACACTGCCAGCTACAATCCCAGAGGCTTGCACAATGTTCTAGGAGAAACGGGGACTCAAGAGGAGAGCCCTAGAAAGTCATGCTGCCAGGAGAACAAAGGAAGGGCCAAATTCTCAAACTGTTGACAGCTGAGAAGGACAGCAGGCCAGAGACCCTGGAAGGCTCTGGAACATCTACTCGCCAAGAGATGAATTCAGGGGCTGGCACTGTGATACAGCACGCTAAGGTGCTTGGGATGCTGGCATCCTATTGGACCGCTGATCCTGGCTGCTCCTCTTCCAATTCAGCTTCCTGCTAAGGCGCCTGAGAAGGCACTGGATGATGGTCCTAGAGCTTGGGCACCTGACCCACCTGGGAGACCTGGATGCAGTTCCAGGCTTCCGGCTTCCAGGGCCCTTTGGGGAATGAACCAGCAGATGGAAGATCTGTGTCTCTCCCTCTCTCTCTATAACTCTGCCTTTCAAATAAATAAATAAATCTTTAAAAAAATATTAAATACAGGCTATAGTTTAGCAAACACTGTATTAAGTGCCTTACATATATTAATTCATTTATTTCTAACAACTCCATCACAAACTGCTCTTATTACTCCTGTAGGCTCATTTTTCCAGAGCCCAGTAGTTACATCATGTGACGTGACCAAGACGCATCCCCCATCTCTTACTTGTAAGTGACGCATTCCTTGATGTTCTCTGTGCTTACAGAAAATGATCTGCTACACACACTGACAATCCTGCTTGAAAATATAAGCCCAACAGCATAACATTTTGGTTCAACTCACCAAGCATATTCTAATTACTTGCTTTAAGTCAGGACTTTGTGAGGCCGGCGCTGTGGCGTAGCGGGTAAAGCCACCACCTGCAGTGCAGGCATCCCATGTGAGTGCCAGTTCAAGTGCCAGCTGCTCCTTTTCTGATCCAGCTCTCTGCTATGGCCTGGGAGGGCAGCAGAAGATGGCCCAAGTCCTTGGGCCCCTGTACCCGCGTGGGAGACCCAGAGGAGACTCTTGGCCATTGCGGCCATCTGGGGAATGAACCAGTGGATGGAAGACCTTTCTCTCTCTCTCTCTCTGCCTAACTCTGCTGTTCAAATAAATAAATCAAACCTTAAAAAAAAAAAAAAGACTTAGCGTGCAACCACAACTTACGAAAAAGAAAACCCACTCCTGAGTTCCAGGAACTCTCTGTTAGAGCCAGGAGACAGACACATATGAAACAGCTTAAACAAGAGAGACCTGCTAATGACTATGGTCCAAAATGATAGCTACAGACAAAAGGCAGATGGCACACGCTGAGAGGAAGCGAGGGCCCCTGTGGCCTGAGTGGCTGAGCAAGGCTTTCTGAAAAAGTCAGCATGGGGCTGGGCTCCAGGGCTGGGAACAAACAAAGGTGGTCCAACAGGCAGGGTGGGGTGAGCACGGCGATGGACGCCAGAGGTCTCGGGAAGGTTCAGGTCTGCCCACAGCAGCTGTTCGGCAGACAGGTCTCAGCCCTCAGACCAGAGAGCGAGAGTAAAGACTCAGTTCCGCACGTGGAGCATCTCTCCCGAGAAACACTCACACGCACGAGTACCAGAGGCCATAAGGATGCTCACTGTGGCGTCATTTGAGGCTGAGAAACCAGAACAAGTAAAAAGTCCAGCAAATTGGAAATGAATTTGGGACTGGCTCTGTGGCACAGCAAGCTGACCCGTGCTGTGACACCATGCTGTGACACCAGCATCCTGGACTGGAGTGCCGGTTTGAGTCCTGGCGGCTCCACTTCCAATCCAGCTCCCTATTAATGCACCTGGGAAAGCAGCAGCAGATGACCGAGTGCTTGGGCCCCTCCCACGCTCTTTCCACATCAACTGCATTCTTTAGATGACTGCATGTGATTTCTTTTAGTCAACCTATATCTCTTTTTTTTTAATAAAAAATTATTTATTTATTTATTTATTTGAAAGGCAGAGCCACAGAGAGAGGGGGAGACATAGAGAGAAAGAGAGACATCGTCCATCGACTGTTTCACTCCCCAAGTGGCTGCAACAGCCAGTTGTGAGATAGGCCAAAGCCAAGAGCAAGAGGTTTATCAGGGTCTCCCACGTGGGTGGCAGGGTCCCAAGTGTATGGGCCTTCTGCTGCTGCCTTCCCAGGAGCAGTAGCAAGAAGCTGGACTGGAAGCAGAGCAGCTGGACTGGAACCGGCACTTCGATATGGGATGCTGGTGTCCCTAGTGAGGTATAGCTGGCTGTACCACAATGCTGCCCCAACCTTAAAAATGTTAAAGGCAGAATAACAGAGAGAGAGAGAGAGAGAGAGAGAGAGAGAGAGAGAGAGATCTTCCATCTGGTGATTCATTCCCCAAATGCCCTTTAACAGCTCCAGGGTGAGGCGAGTCTGAAGTGAAGAAACAGGAACCCCATCCAGGTCTCCCACATGGGTGCAGTGGGAGAGCACCTGGGCCACCCTCTGCTGCCTTCCCAGGCACATTAGCAGGAAATTGGATTGAAATGGAGAAGCTGGGAATAGGCTCTCTGATCTAGGATGCCATCACTGCAGAGCTGAGCTCAACTAATTGTGTTACAACGCCAGCCCCCAAATTAACATTAATTAGATTGCCAAATTAACACTGACAACTTTTCAGATGATACATGCCAAAATAAACAATTAGGGGTAGGCCGGCACCATGGCTCACTAGGCTAACCCCCCACCTGTGGCGCTGGCACCCAGGGTTCTAGTCCCAGTTGGGGCGCCAGATTCTGTCCCGGTTGCTCTTCTTCCAGTCCAGCTCTCTGCTGTGGCCCAGGAGTGCAGTGGAGGATGGCCCAGGTCCTTGGGCCCTGCACCCCATGGGAGACCAGGAGGGAGCACCTGGCTCCTGGCTTCGGATCAGTGCAGTGTGCCGGCCGTAGCGGCCATTTGGGGAGTGAACCAATGGAAGGAAGACCTTGCTCTCTGTCTCTCTCTCTTTCTCTAACTCTGCCTGTCAAAAAAATAAATAAATAAACAATTAGGGGCCAGCGTTGTGCCTAGCAGGTAAAGATGCTACCTGCAACACCGGCATTCCATATGCGTGCTGCTTTGAGTCCTGGCTGCTCCACTTGTCATCCAGCTCCCTGCTAATGCGCCTGGGAAAGCAGTGGCTGGTGCTTAGGAACCCTGCACCTATGTGGGAGACCTGGAAGAAGCTACTGGCTCTGGCCCGGCCCAGCCCAGCCCCAGCCATTGTGGCCATCTGGGGAGTGAAGCAGCAGACAGAAGACCTCTCTCCCTGTCTTTCCTTCTCTCTCTCTCTCTATATATATCTATGCCCTTCAAATAAATAAAATAAATTTTAAAAAAATAAACAATTAAAACAATCTGGAAGGGCTGGCACTGTGGTGTAGTGGGTTAAGCCACTACCTGTCATGCTGACATACCTTATGGGCACTGGTTCATGTCCCAGATGCTCCATTTCCCATCCAGTTCCTTGCTAATGTGCCTAGGAAAGCAATAGATGGTGGCCCAAGTGCTTGGGCCTCTGCACCCACATAGGAAACCCCATATGAAGCTCCTGGCTCCTGGCTTTGGCTATTATAGCCATCTATGGAGTGAGTCAATGGAGATAGAAGATATCACTCTCTTTCTCTATGTCACTCTCCCACACCCCCCCGGAACTCTTCCTTTCAAATAAAACAAAATTTTAAAAACAAAAAACCTGGAGTCCTAGCACCCAGATATAGACACAGTTAATATTTTTTTTAAGACAAAATATTGGAGCCCGCATCGTGCATGGCAGGTAAAGCTGCCGCCTGTGATGCCGGCATCCCATACAAGCATCAGTTCATGTCCCTGCTGCTCCACTTCCCATCCAGCTCCCTACTAATGGCCTGGGGAAAGCGGCAGAAGCTGGCCCAAGTGTTTGGGCCCCTGCCACTCATGTGGGAGAACTGGATGAAGCTCCTGGCTCCTGGCTTCGGCTTGGTCTAGCTTGGGCCACTGTGGTCATTTGGAGAGTGAACCAGCTGATGAAAGGTCTCTGCCTCTCTCTCCATAACTCTGATTTTCAAAATAAATAAATAAATAAATAAATTTTTAGAAAAAACAACAAACAAAATATTTATTTTATTTATATGACAGAGTTACACAGGGAGAGAGCGAGATCTTCCATATGCTATTTCACTCCCCAAATGGCTGCAATAGCTGGGGCTTGGCCAGACAGAAGCCAGGAGCCCAGAACCCCATCCAGGTCTCCCATGTGGTGGCAGGGGCCTAGTCACTTTGGCCTTCTTCTGCTGCTTTTCCAGGCACATTAGCAGGACGCTGGATTAGAATTGGAGCAGCTGGGACTCAAACTAGCAATCATACGGGATGCAGGCGTTGCAGCCTGCTGCTTAACCTGCTACACCACAACGCCGGCCCCAATACTTTCTTCTTAACAGGCCTGTGGAGGCCATCACTATGGCATAGCAGGTAAAGCTACCACCCACAGTGCCGGAATCCCATATGGGCGCTGGTTCAAGTCCTGGCGGCTCAACTTCCAATCCAGCTCTCTGCTATGACCTGGGAAAGCAGTAAATGATGGCCCATGTCCTTGGGCCCCTGTACCTGCGTGGGAGACCCAGAAGAAATTCCTGGCTCCTGGCTTCAGATCACCATTGTGGCCATCTGAGGAGTAAACCAGCAGATGGAAGTCTCTCTCTCTCTCTCTCTCTGCCTTTCAATACATAAATACATCTTTAAAAAAAATTGGCCTGTGATATACCATTTTGCAAAGTATTATTGTGAAAGGTTCTCTGTGTCGCTACGCTCTCCTCAAAGGCATCGTTTATACTTACTGCAGGTGTGGGCACTGAGGGCAGCAGGTTAAGGCCCTGCCTGGGATGCCCATGTCCCATATCACAGTGCCAGTTTGAGTGCTGGCTACGTCACTTCCCATCAAAACAGTGGACAAGGGCCAAGTACTTGGGTTCCTGCCACCCATGAGGGAGACCTGGATGGAGTCCTAGCTCCTGGCTTTAGCCTGGCAAGGCCCTGGCTGTTGTGACCCTCTGGGGAGTCAATCAGCAGATGAAAGCTCTCTCTCTCCCTCTTTCAATCTCCCTTTCCCTATTTCTCTCTCTGTAACGCTTCCTTTCAAGAAAATAATATTAAAAAAAAATAAAAAAAAAAAAAAAGACTTCAGAGCCGGCACTATGGCCTAGGGGGTAAAGCTGTGGCCTGCAATGCCGGCATCCCATACGGGCGATGGTTCGAGACCCGGCTGCCCCACTTCTGATCCAGCTCTCTGCTATGGCCTGGGAAAGCAGTAGAAGATGGTCCAAGTGTTTGGGCCCCTGTACCCGTGTGGGAGACCTGGAAGAAGCTCCTGGCTTCGAATCAGCTAATTGGGGAGTGAACCAGCAGATGGAAGACCTCTCTCTCTCTGCCTCACCTTCTCTCTGTGTGTGACTCTGACTTTTAAATAAATAAATAAATAAATAAATAAATAAATAAATCTTTTAAAAAATGACTTCATAATAGGAAAAAATAAGAGCAACCTCACTGAGGCGCTGTGTCAAGCATTTTATTTCCATGATTTCCATTAATCTTCAAACTCTCCATGCCCTCTAGGAAAATAAAGCTCAGCTATGGGTAAAAATCACTGTTGGGAGAGGCTGTTTTGAAGGATCAGAGAGCTCAAGTACCTGGCAAAAGCACACCACTCAACACAGGACGGACAGGAATTCAAAATCAAGGCCATCTGCTTGGAACTGTGAAAGTCTGATCACCATGCTGTTTCCCCGTCAAGGCCACCACAGCCTGTTAAAGCCGGCTGCAGTCGCCGGGCGCCCCGGCAGCAAGCAGGGCCAGGAGGAACGTCCCACATCAGCCCCCGGGAGCACCTCCCTCTCCACCGGAAACTCTTCTTGATTTGGCAGACTCAACTTTCTAACACACCTGTCTCTATACAGCATCTCTATTTTCAGTCCATCAGGAACTGACATTTCTGTAAAATCCAATGAAAACTAATTCCTAGAAATAAGAAGTGAAACACACAGAAGACACAAGCCCCAGGTGGTTAAAACGGTAAATCTTATGTATGTTTTACCACGATTTAAAAAAATACGTGCCTCATCTTTAAAGTTGTTAGATTCGATCTGACATTGTCAAGTGGCTGTAGAGGTTTCTAGAAGCTTCCTCTCTGTTTCTGTGCTGATACAACAGGAAGCAGAGGAGCCTGGGGACTGCCTGGAGGGAGGGCTGAACCCTGAGTGGCGCTGCTCCGCACGGAGCCTTTGTGAGCTGTCCCTGAGCATCCAAGGGAGTTAGTTCCAAGATGCCCTGCGGATGCCGACGTCCACAGATGCTCAGGCCACTTACACCCAACGGCACAGCATTTCCCATGAGCCACGCACACCCTCCTGGACACCGGACACCGCCTCTATGTGACCTTATCACACACCGTGAACGCCTTGTAAATAGCTGTTAGATGGCACTGCTTAGGGAATAAAGAGTCTGTGCATGCCCAGTACATACACAGTTCTTTGCCCCTAAATATTTTCAATTTGAAGTTGGTTGTATCCACAGATGCAGAATCCACAGATGTGGGGGCTGGGGGGCTGACTGTGCCACATTTATGTTTACTTGGGTTCCCGCCCCAGACAGGGAGCCCCACCCATGGCTGGCTCACGACTGAATCTCTGGCTCTGTGCCCTGGGCACTCCTGGGTGACTCAGGCCCGGGCCCAGGGGCTGAGAGAAACGACTCACCACTGGGAACCAGGAGCAGGCTTTTCACGATGCTTCGGAGTGGTCCAAGGCTGATCTGATTGGTGGCAGCAAATTCTGAGAGCTGAGCCAGAAACCGTTCCACCTGCAGAGGACAGCACAAACCAGGCTTCACTCCCCACGGCCCTCAGCGCCACACCCCGCGCTCAGGATCCTCGCGGTGCGGTGCACTTTACCTCCTTGGGCTCGGTCAGGAAGAGGAAAAGCACTTCTGTCAGCGCTGAGAACTGCTGTGAAGAGAACACCACATGGCATGAGTAAACGTCTTCCTCAGGGTCAGAGTGCCACATCCCATTAGCCACAGACCCTTGAGAGAAAGGAGCCGGGACAGACGCTGATACCCATTTTGCCAGTCTTAAAGGCATAAATATCCACAATACGCACCAGCAGGCTCTCCAGATCTGTGTCACTACATTGTCTGAAAAGCACGCATATTGTGCTGCGATCCTAGGAGACACACACCGGGAGGCACAGGTGCACACCTACATCTCTAGGGTACAAATACACATAACACATGTGCAACCACGCACACACACGTATGCAAACACCACAGACACGCGAACAGGCTGAGGGGGCGACCACTGGAACCAACAGCAGTGACCTCTCTGTGACTCTGGATGATTCGGATGCTCTTCTGCTTTGCCTATCCATATTTTCTGGATTCCCTTCACAACAATGAACATAACGTTACTCACACATCAAAATGGCAGACTGTAACACTTTGCTGTACACTGCCTTAGGACAGGCTCTGGTTTGTGCAAGTTAACCTTCTACTCTCTACGCTGGCACTGTATAGTTAGGGACAGCATGCTGGTGTCCCGGTTGGGGGTGGGGATGCATATGTTGAAGCCCTGACTTCCGGTGTGACTGTATCTGGAGACAGGGCTTGGGGGGGTGATATGAGGTTAAATGAGAGTATAGAGTGGGGCTCAAATCCCCACAGGGCTGGTGCTCTTAGGAGAAGAGGAAGAGCCTCCAGAGCTCTCGTGGCCATGTAAGGATCCAGCAGGAAGGAAGCCATCTACAAGGCGGAAAGCAAACCCTCGCCAGGAACCAAACTAGCTCGCACTTGGTCCTGCACCGCCCACCTCCAGGGGTGTGAGAAATCAGTCTGCTGTTTAAGCCACCCAGTCAAGGGTATTTTGCTATGGTAGCCTGAGCAGAGACATCCACCATTACCTTCCTGCATCCCCTCTCAAATGGCTATAATAACAGCTCACAGGGGAAACAGAGACGCCAACGTCTGAAAGCCCCACACACAGAGGCTGCTGTTTGGCACAGAGTAAGTTGTCACCTGGGAGGACCACAGTCTAACTGCAGCACCTGGTTCCAGTCCCGGCTCCTCCACTTCTGCACATCAGCTTTCTGAAGCAGACGATGACTAAAGTACTTGGGCACTTGCTCCCCATACAGGACACCCAAACTGAGTTCCAAGGTCCTGGCTTTGTCCTGACCCAGTCTGGCTGTTGCAGGCATTTGAAGACTGGACCAGTAGATGGAAGATCCCTCTCTGTCTCTCTCTCTGACTTTCAAATAAAATGGAGGGGGGAAAAAAACAGGGGAAAATAAAAATGCAAATAAGTCAAAGGCCCAGATGTGGGTCAGTGTGCTGCCACTGACCGCTGAGGTGAGCCTGGGCAAGCCCCTGAGGCTGCTGTCTTGGTCCCCACAGGGAAGGCAGAGGTAACACAGCTTCCAGAGCACTGAAGCCAAAGCCCCCAGCACAGGGTCAAGCTAGAAGCTACACAAACAGCTGCAATGACCAGTCATAATTACATAACTGGAGCCACTAGGCCACTTGCTCCACCTTCCAGGAGAAATCATCAAAAAAAAAAAAAAAAAAAAAAGATGCTAAACAGACACTTCAGACCTAAGTCCCCAAAGCTGTACCTGCAGCATGGCTGTCAAACCCACCTGCCTCTCTGGCTATCACACACTAACTAAATTCCATGTACATATGGGCCAGGGCCCTGCAAAATCTTACTCTAAAATTTTTAAATATGAAACTAGTGGGACTGGCGCTGTAGCACACCAGCTACAAAATAAAGCTGCTGCCTGCAGCACCGGCATCCCATGTGGGTGCCAGTTCGAGTCTCAGCTGCTCCACTTCCGATCCAACTCCCTGCTCATGCACCTGGGAGAGCAGCGGAAGATGGCACATGATGTGGGAGACCTGGAAGAAGCTCCCGGCTCCTGGCTTCAGCCTGGAGCAGCCTAGCCATTGTGGCCATTTAGGGAGTAAACCAGTGGATGGAAGATTCCTCTGTCTCTGCCTTTCAAATAAATAAATAAATACATAAATCTTAAATAAAATATGAAACTCATCTTTGAAAATACAAAAGTAATACATGTGGGAGAGTAATACATGTGTAACTCTGACTTTCAAGTAAATAAATAAATCTTTTTAAAAAATTAAAGTGCCTGGTTCAAGTTCCTGCTACTCTGCTTCAGATGCGGCTTCCTTCCTGCCAATGTGCAGGAACTTGGGTTCCTGCTATCCAAGTGGGAGAGCCAGATGGAGTTCTAGGCTTTTGGCTTCAGCCTGGCCCAGCCCCAGCTGCTGCACACATCTGGGGAGTGAATCAAGAGATGGAAGCTTGCTTTCTCTCTTCCTCTCTCTCTTCTCTCTCTCTTGCTCTGCTTTTAAATAGATTTAAAAAAAATTTTAAAGCCAAAAGACCAATATCCTGTCATTTGCAACAACACGGTGAATCTAGAGGACATTATGTCAAGAGAAATAAACCAGATACAGAACCACTCACTGCCTGATCTCACTCATCAGCGGAATCTAAAAAAGCTGACCTCATAGAAGCAGCGCACAGAGGCCGGCGCTGTGCCACAGCCAGAGCAGCTGCTGCTGACGTCTGCACCCCACATCAGAGCACGGGTTCAAGTCCTGGCTGCTCTGCTTCCCACCCAGATCCCTGCTGATGCGCCTAAGAAAGCAGCGGAAGATGGCCCGAGTGCCTGGGCCCTGGCAGACCTGGAAGCAGCCCTGGCTCCTGGCTTCAGCCCGGCCTAGCCTCGTCCATTACAGCCATTGGGGAGTGAATCAGCTGATTTAAGATCTTCCTCTCTCTCTCTCTCTCTGTTGTCCTGCCTTTTCTCTTTTTTTCCAAAGGTTTATTTATTTACTTATTTGAAAGAGTTACACAGAGAGAGAAGGAGAGGCAGAGAGAGAGAGGTCTTCCATCTGCTGGTTCACTCCCCAGTCGGCCGCAATGGCCGGAGCTGTGCCGATCTTGAAGCCAAGAGCCAGGAGTTTCTTCCAGGTCTCCCACTGCTTTAACCTGCTGTGCCACAGCACTGGCCCCTCTGCATTTTTTAAAAGATGTATTATTTATTGAAAGGCAGAATGGGGGCTGGCGCTGTGGCCATGGAATGGAAGACCTCTCTTTCTCTGTCTCTACCTCTCTGTGTAACTCTTTCAAATAAATAAAATAAATCTTAAAAAAAATTTAAAAATGCAGGGCTGGCGCTGTGTCATAGCAGGTAAAGCCGCAGACTGCAGTGCTGGCATCCCATATGGGCGCTGGTTCGAGTCCCAGCCGCTCCACTTCCGATCCAGCTCTCTGCTATGGCCTGGGATGGCAGTGGAGGATGGCCCAAGTCTTTGGGCCCCTGCGCCCGTGTCAGAGACTGGGAAGCTGCTCCTGGCTCCTGGCTTCGGATCAGCACATCTCCAGCTATTGCAGCCATCTGAGGGGAATGAACCAGTGGATGGAAGATTCTCTCTCTCTCTCTGCCTCTCTGTAATGCTGCCTTTCAAATAAATAAATATATAAATCTTTTTTAAAAGAATAAAAAAAATGCAGACAGTGGATATGAAGTGTTCTCATCACAAAAATGATAACTATCCAAGGAATTGCATTTGTTAATTAATTATCTACATATAACTGTTCCATAAAGCGTATATTCCAAATCACGTTGTACATGATATATACAATCTCATGCCAATTTTTTTTAAAAGATTTATTTATTTACCTGAAAGGTTGAAAGGTAGAGAGAAAGAGAAAGAGAGAGAGAAAAAAAGTCTTCTATCTGCTGGTTCACTCCCCAAGTGGCTGCAATGGCAAGGAAGGACTAGACCAGGCCAAAGCCAGGAGCTAAGAGCTTCATGTAGATCTCGCACATGGGTGCAGGGGCCCAATCACTTGGCCTAGCTTCTGTCACTTTCCCAGGCACATTAGCAGGGAGCTGGATTGGAAGTGGAGCAGCCAGGGTAGGAACAGGTGGTGGCTTAACCTGTTATACCACAGCCCCATGTCAAATCTTTAATTAAAAAAAAAAAAAAAAAGGAAAAATTAAAAAGAAACCCTCACAAGAAAGAGAGAGAGAGAGAGAGAGAGAGAGAAAAGGAGGAGATCCAGTCAGATGCCCAACTTCTTAGGCCCCCTCTGCAAACCTTGCCTTGGGCACCGAGAATAAGGAACACAAAATGGCTAGCAGATAAAGTTCCTTGAGGGCTGTGTATTATCACAGCACCTTAAATATTTTAAGTGCCCGGTATCTGCAGAATATATCTTCTCCCCTAGCTGCCTCTCCCTGGAATGCTCACCCCACCCTCCGGGACTATCCATGCCTATCACAATCTTAACCACTCTCAGCAGTAAACACAGAAGAGATGGTCAAGGTCACTCTGGACTAGAGAAATGCAGGTCAGTAAAACAGAGATCCCACTTTCCACTTATCAGCTCTGCAAACACAGAAGTTTGAGGACACCAGAGCTGGTTAAAGTCCAGGAAGCAGACAGGCTGCTGCCCAGGGCACCCTTTCCTGAAGAACATTTCACAGTACACTTTTAAGAAATTGTTCTCCTTGACCCAGTAACTATCTCCTTCATGCATGTTCCAAAAAGCAAATGCTTTACTTCAGATTCAGTCTAGGCATACTACAAAAGCTGTTCTTTGAAAGCACTGTTTTTTGCAAAAATAAACAAGGGAAAGCAATTTAACTGTCTATTACGAGGAGGTACATCCATTTCAAGGCATACCATACAGCTATCAAGCAAAAAGAATGTGGGGGGGTGAGGGGAGGCAGCGCTATGGCACAGTAGGTTAATCCGCCTGCAGTGCCGGCATCCCATATGGGCACTGGTTCTAGTCCTGGTTGCTCCTCTTCCAATCCAGCTCTCTGGCTATGGCCTGGCAAAGCGGTGGAGGATGGCCCAGGTGCTTGGCCCCTGCACCTGCGTGGAAGATCTGGAAGAAGCTCCTGGCTTTGGATC